AGTGTCCAGGCAGGAACAACAGCATTAACCCCAGACACCAAAATGGCTCTCTGGGGGGGACACAGAGGACACACGGCAAGGTTTTGACCTTGGCAGAGTTGCTGGATAAAGGCTTGATTTGCTCAGAAAGAGCCACGTAGGTCCTCAAAGAACTCTAGCTGGTCGGGGGAGCCAGAGGTAAAGCGGCTCCGTTGCTTACTGGGCGGGTAGAGCTTTGTCTCTCTGAATTTGGCTGCCTTGTCACCGTTTACGAGACCCGGCTGCTTCTGGAAATGATAGCTCACTCCTGCAGCCCGCAGTCAGCTGGTCTTTGCGGCCACCCCAGCTATGCCGCAGAGGGAGTGTGGGCACTCCAGAGCCCTGTGGGGTACGCGGAGCGGCCCCAGGGCACCCGCTGGTCTCGGCTGCGTCCTGGCCGCGTCCCAGACTGCCGAGGCACATCCAGTGCACAGCCTTCACATGAGACAGGTGCCTGCAGAGGCACTGGCTCCTGGGAATTATTCTGCCTTCTTGAATACTGCTTCGTGCTGTCAGGGCAAGGTCATGGCTCTTTTACAGAGCGAGACTCCCAATCAGATCCTGAAGCTAGGAAGAGATGCTTGTCCTGGCTTCGTTCCAGCTGCTTAGCTCTTGTCTCCGCTAGCCTGGAAACGGGTTTTAATGGTGTTTCACTGTAGTCCCAGGCGCAGCAGATGCAGAATGGATTTAGTGAGCTGCTGCAGACGTGAGCAAGAGTTTAAAAGCAAGGTCTTGTCAGCTGATCTGGTGGTGCTAGCACAAGCTTGCTGGTGGGGGTGATGAAGACTGCTGTTCTGGTTCTGATGGCCTGCTGAAAGGTGCATGTTTCCCTGGCCAGCTGCGGTTGTAAACAGCATGAACTGCAGTAAGGAGCAAAATGGCTTTCTGCTAATGGCACATGTTGGTGCTGTTTTGGGGTTTTGGTGTTTGTTGGTGGTCTTGGTTGGTTTGTTGTTTTTTTAACCCTTGTTGCCTCCAGCTGCTGTGTTCTTTGGTTGCTAATGAATAAAAGGAGTAAGACATTTCTGGTCTTGAAAGGAATGAGTGATCTGATACAAAGCTAACCAGACCATCTCCTCTGTCTTCCTCAGAGCCCAGACACTTACTGGAGTCGGATCATGCATTGGTAACACAGGAACTGCTTGCTCTGGTCAATCAGAACAAACCCTAGTAGCCTTTGTCTTGCCGTTTCCAGGTGTGGGCTGGAAAGCAGGAGGGGGATGGGAAGCTCCCAGGTCCTTTCTGTAGTGACGTGAACCTGAGTCACTGTGGCCAAGTCCCTGTAAAGCTGACTTGCCACCACCTTGCCCTCAGTTTCAGGGAGGCAGTGCTGCGGTGCGTTTTCTGTTAGAGATTGTAGGTGGTGGGGAGCTGAAGCTTCTGGCACAGAGAGGAGTGTTTAGTGCTGAAGGGGAAGAGCATAAAGGCAGCCTGCTATCTCTTTGCAGGAGAGCCCTGCCACCTGAGCTGCAAATTTAGTTCCGTAGTCCTAGTTAAAGGCCCCTGGGACTCTTGCAGCCTGATGGGCAGCACAGACTTTCCCAACACAGGCCTTCTGGTATCTAGAAAAACCCCTGGAGCTTCACACTCAGCTAGAGCTGGCATGTGTCAGCTGCTGCTGAAAGAAGCAATCCTGGCCTAGGTCCTTCCCTGTCCAGGGGATAGGGAGGGATGGGCTGTTTCCGACAGCACAGTCAATTTGTACTGGGTTACACATAGCTTTAAAGCTTGGGGAAGCTGGTTGGGCGAATCCTTTCTGGGCTTGGAGATTGGCTTTAAAACCATGCGAGGTGTTGCCTGGATGCTGAGGAGACCCCTGTTTGTTGGGCATAGGAGAATGTGCGTAAGACAGATCCTTGCCTCAGCTCCCTGCTCTGCCGCTGGAGGTGGACTACGCTGCCTCTCTTGCTCTGGGACAGAGGGAGCCTGTCCCCGTGGGACCCTGCTGAAATGTGCTGCATTCCTTTCGGTGGGCCTGGGGTAGTGTCTAGTGCTGTGGTGCCTGGCCCCTTTGTCCTGAAGTGGTATTCAGCAAAGGCAAATTTTAATAAGGAGTTTATCTAAGGAATTCAGATGAAGATCTAAGGAATTCAAATTAAAATTTTTTTTTTTTTTTTTTTTTCCTCCCCCACTCCTGCATGAGGATGGTTAAGCTGTGGGACAGAGATCTGAAGAGCTTGTGGGATCTCCATTTTGGGAGATACTCAACTCTTGACTAGACACAGATACCTGATCAGATGCCAGCTTTGAGTGAGGGGATGAGCCAGAGACCTCTAAGAGACCTCTAGGCATCCCTTCCAAGTAATACAACGGTCAGACTCTGTTGTTAGGGAGGAAGTTGCAACACAACAGTCTCTCTGTGGTACTTAAAGTCATTTTTGTGTTGGTTTGACTCTAGACTGTCTGCAGTGCAAGAAGGGCCCAGGCTGGAGGCTGGGGTTGGGAAAGAGCTTCAGGCAGAAGATGGGGCTCTGGGGTGCCCCCTCTTTTGACAGCAGGGGGAAACACATGAGCCAGAGACAAATGGTGGTAGAGGACCTCATACACGTCAGAGTTTGAGCGACATCTTTTGGCTTGGGATTGCAGCTCGGAGATACGCGGGGTATGAACTCCCAGGGTGCTGACCCTTGTCTGATCTCCTCTTTGTGTGTTCTTAGGGGCTCTAAGGGAGCAGAAGATGTACCAGGCATTTCTGGCAGTGGTAACAAGCATCACAGAGTATGCTCTGTGCCTCACGTGAACCTCAGCAGGCATGTGTCCCAGGATGGAGACATATACTGCAATTATTCCACTGGTTTTTGCTTTTAGGAGTCCAGCATTTGCCCTTTAATTTCTGGCACTTACTCATGTCGCAGTTCTTAATATCACCCTGAAGGTGACTGCACATCCATCTGTCCCTTCATCTGCAAAACATCTTTCTCTCGCCTTTGTTTCTAAAGCCTTAACATGTGTGTGTGCAGCTGCTCTTGGCTGTGAAGTTCTTGGGCGCCATACAGAGCTGATTATCTTTCTTGTTTTACCCATTTTGGAGCAGCTTTGGAAATGCTGACTGTCAGATGTGCAACTCGGCAGCACCAGTTCATCCCTTTTCCGTGGCTCTGTTGCAGGTGGGCTGACCCTCATCACCCTCAGGGTGATGACCCTGAGCACGACGGCTCTGTCTCCCAGTTGTGGTCAACCCTTCTTGCTGTGGGTCAGATTTACTCTTTTCCACAGGAAACTCTTTTCCAGAACCAGCTGTTTTTCTGCAGGTACCATATCCTTAGATCGCCTTCTCCTGCAGGAAAGTTTGCTGTGAAAAATCTGTACCCATTTCTACGCAGAAAGTGCTGGCAGGCCAGCTGTGTTTTGAAGGAAGCTGCAATTATTGTCCTGACAGTATCGCTTGTGCAAGTTGTGACAGTACCCTGGCATCTCACGTATACTTGGTCCATGGACATGCAGGGAGACAGTGAACTGAATTTGTTGAGGCATGTGTAGACCTGAAGTCTCTAAAGTCTCTGTCCTAGTTTAGTTGACTCCCGATTTCCCTGGTGCTTTTTTTTTTTTCATTTTGCTCCCTGTAGCCTTCTAGCATTAGGCATTGTAACCTAATGCACCCATTTAGTCTGGCGTCCTTGTTTCCGTTGCGGCAGCTGTTGTGGGTTTAAGATAGAAGCAGTGAAGCTTCCAGCTCTTTCTTCTTAAAGCTCTTGTATGTGGGAGCGGTTTTGAGAGGCAGAAAAGTGGGCTGCTGAAATTGCTGATGCTCAGTGATTTCCCGGTTATCGGCTTGAATACAGGAGGAAGGTTTCTGCCTGGCAGGATGCGCTAGCTGATGGATTCCCAGCTGGTTGCTGCAACTGCCACAAAGCTCAGTGCACGCATGTTCCTTCCCTGTCTTCTGCAGCACTCCTCCGAATGGGAGCAGGGGAGGAAAGATGAGATGGGTGTTGCCGGAAAGCCAGGCTGTCCTAGCAGCTCGCTGTAAATAGGGAAGATGTGCCAACTAGAGCAGAAACGTGCTGGTGGAGACCTGGGCTGTGATACCTGCAGAGCTGTGAGGAATGCAGCAGGATGAACTAGGAGCTGGACACTCCGGCTCCCGAGAAACTCGTTGGAAAAGCATTCTTCCTTCCTGTTCCAGTCTGAACCTCCCCCTGCCAAAGGCAAATGATGGTGTCTTCCCTCCTCTCTGCAGGAACCCCCGAGTGCGTTTTCTGCCTGGACAAAGGACACTGCGTGCCCTTTACTGAATGTGTGGGAGTCGGAAGAGTGCTTATACAGCAGCCTCAGCCTGCCCGACCTTGGCGTCGGTTGCCATAGTGCGTGTTTCCTCTCTGGAGGGCTGGGCACTGAGCGTAGACCTGCCAGCACTGGGCAGAGCTGGAAATAAGGCTCTGTAAGGAAGAATTGTCGCTTTGGAGGGATAAGAAGTCAGCTCCCCCCAATGTTTGTTGGTTTTCTTTGCTGTGCGAGAGGTAGCAACATTTAAGTGACTTCCCTGCAGTCTTCTCTTTATTTTCTTGTTGGTGCTTGGAAGTGAACAGCCCATGTGCTGTTCTCAGGTTTTGCACCCTGTGTCCAGCCTGGACAATCCCATGTCCACCCGTGAACACTGGAAGCATGTTGGTACCTAGCAGAGACGTGCTTCTAGGATGTCTTCCTATGGGAGAAAGACCAGGGTTGTGTAGAGGTGTTTGCACAGCCAGGGAGAGGAGAGGAGAGGAGCCTGTGTTGGTATGTCTGGAGGATCTGAGGGTGTAATTGCAGGGTAGGATGAGTCTGATGTGCTGCGAGTCAGGGCTTTTTGATTGTTTTCCCGTTTCAGTCTGAAATCTTTGCAGTTCTGAAAAACAAGCTGGTCGTGGGGACTGTGAAATGCTCGAAGCTTTTTCTGCTGGAGGGGCTGAGGAAAGTTGGGATGCTGCTGTAGTAGAGGCACAGGTGGTTTAACACACAGCTTGACGATTTCTCAGCTGAGAAGTAGTTCTATGCACAGTGGAATTAATGAGGCTGATTTTCTATGGATCTGGGTCTTGTCTGACTGTTATCTAGCAAGGTGCAAGCTCTGGTGGCTTTTTATCATGATTTGTAGCATGTTCCTCTTCCTAATATGTTTGTGTTGTACTTTTTAAAGATGGCAGCAAGATCTCGGTGTGGACATAAGTAATGCTTCCGTGAAAACTCTGAGCACTTCACAGCTGACGCAGTACACAGAGGGACAGATGAAGAGGCACTTGTGCTGCACAGCTGTGTGAGCCTTAGGGCAGAGCTCTAGTTTTGTTGCTTGCTGCATATGGGGCTGCTCCTGGGGATCTCCTTATGTCCTAGGCATTGCTTGTGCTCCAGAGGACTCCGACTTCCCGATTTCCCTGTTTCTGACTCTGGGGCTGTGTTTCCTTATGAGCTGAAACTAGTGACAGGGCTGTTTCACCCTTTGGCAGCTGTTGCCTTGGCTTCTGTGGAAGCAAGTAAGTGCCTGTTGAGCCTTCCTGGGAGGCTGTCTGGACGCATTTCAGAGCAGGACAACAGTGCTTTGCTAGACATGGCAGCGCTAGCGTCCTTTGGGCTGCCAGCGTCTTCCTCTGGAGCTGGGAATCATTGCACGTCTCCTCCTGAGTGGTGGTGACCTGCAGAAGTCTGCCTTAGGCAGGGCTTCCCTTGTTGCTTTAGCACTCAATCAGTCCCCAAGATGTGCTGTAAAGGTGGGAAGAAGAATAACCATGGGAATTATGGACCAGATTACTTAGCTGCCAGTTCCTAGAGAATCAGTTTGGGAGACAGGATAGGAGTGGCAGCCAACTCTCAACAGACCTATTCTTTTCTTCGAAACAGTAGTCCATGCCCTCTGTCTTGACCTTGATGAGGTTTTTCATGCCACTCATGTCAGATGGTCTTCTCTAAAGCAAACTGGGAAATGTCACACTCCGGATGAGACTTTTCAGTGTAAAATGCACAATGCAGAGAGTAACTGCATGTGGAGCGTGGTAGATACCCAAAAGTGAAACATACGCTGAAGTGTGGCTCATGGAGTGAATCATGGCGTGATCACTGAAGCGAATGCGGAGTTGGCTTTGGGACTCTGGGGTAGGTGAGGGGGGGACTCAGCTCTTGCTCACAGGTATGAACAGGAACCCAGTCTGCAAAAGGCATGAAGTGTTCCTGCCCTGCTGAGGGCCTGTAAGGTCTCTGCTGCCTGGTGAGAGTTTGCTGCCCTCCCTGAGGGGTGGGTGTGCATCACTGGAACAGAAACCAAAGAGGAGCTGAGAGGAGAGCTCAGGCCTATAGAACAACTCAAGGAACTACTAGAAGAGTGAGGCTAAAAAGGAGGAAATGTGTATGTATAAAGAGATGTGTGCACTCACAGCAACCGCCCCAGCACCGTTCGCCATCTTCTTTTTCAGTGCTGCAGTGAGGAAGAAACTGGACCCCTCTGTTGCTCAGGGCCTGCTCCTGGGCAGCAACAGTGGTAGCTGAGCTGGGGGATTGCCCTGAGCCGCCCTGGGCAGGGCGCCCAGCCGGGGAGGAGCTCTGCTCTCTCTGTTGCTGTACCTGGGGCAGCATTTCTGCTCGCTCGGTCAACCAGGCACGAGGCTGCTGCTGAACAAAGAGCTCAAGCCACGCAGAGGTGGGTCTTGCAGGAGGACAAAGCCAAGCCTGTCGGCAGCTCTTCCCCCACCTCCTCCTGCCCAGCGCCAGGGCGGTTTACCAGCTCCCTGCGGCGGGGTGCTCCGGTTGCTGCGCTCCTGCCAGCTCCGGGAGGCAAAGAGGTGTTGCCTGTGCAGGGCATGGCAGCTGGCTGCCTTCGGCCCTCCTGCCCAGGAGGCTGGGCTTGGGCAGGTGACCGGTAGCAAGGTGGGTGGTGGCTCTCCTGCCATCGTTGAGTGCTGGGATGGGGCTGCTGGGGTGGTGAGGTTGAGAGGGGCTTAGACAAGCGAGTCGTGGAGCAGCCAGCGTACTGTCAACCTGCTGTGGGAGGTCTCACCCGCTGCTTGTGTCCTCTCACCTTCTGGCCTGCTGTGTTTCCCCAGCTCCTGGATTTTCTGTGCAGGGGCCTTGCAGCCATGCTGACATTGTGGGTTGTAGCACTCGGTGACCCTGTGCAAAGGCTTGATACTCTCCTGTTGTATGTCTGGGGGAAACGGGACGGGGAAGGAGTACAGAGTCCGTATGCCATCCTGAGGAGTCCTTGGGCTGGCAGCAGGGCAGAAGAAGCTGGAAAAGCTGTTACTGTTTCAAGCTGCCACCCACGCAAGGGTCACACTGGTGTAACTGTAGCAATTGGTGCATGTAAGCTTTCCCACACAGGCGTGTTTCTGTCTATGCTGGCAGTGTCGTGTCCTTTGTCACCACAACGGCCATTCTATGCCAGGCTGGGATTGTCAGGGTGTAGTCTTCTGGCCAGGGAATTTTGTGTTTGGCCCAGTAAGGCCACTGATCCCTCCCTATCAGAGAGATGCTCTTCCGGGAGGAAGCAGAAAGCTTTGAGCTGACATCCCTCCACTTGCTGTTCCCTTTCTTCGGCAGCTGGAAACAGTGTTGAGCTCTGACAGCCTCCTTGCATCAGTGGTCTGTGGGCAGGAGGTGTGTGCGTTGCAGCCCCAGCTGCTGGCTACAAATCTCAACTCTTAAATGGAAGCTAAATCAGCTTTCCCTGCTGCCGGGAGTGTGGGGGTGTTGGAGGTCAGCACTGATTCTAGCCTTTTTGTCTGCTGTCCACGTGTGCCACCTGCACTAGTTGCCAGCGCTTTGTGCCACAAAAGCGGAGACACGTGCCCTGACAGCTGCCTGCTGCCAAAGGGAGAGGGGAAGCCAAAGGGGAAGGGCTTAGAGTGGGCAACCAGTTGGACGCTGTCTCTGGCTGCTTGGAAGAGGCTGTGACACTCGCGTCTGGTTGTGGCTCTCCAGAAGTGCTCAGGTTTTCTCTCTCTCTGTGCAGGGCTGCAGGGGCAGGACTATGTCCACCATGGTGTACCCAAGGGAGGAGAAACTGGACAAGCTGAGCCAAGAGGAGATAATTTCCAACACCAAGCTGGTGATGCAAGGGCTGGAGGCACTCAAGAACGAACACAACTCCATCCTGCACAGCTTGCTGGAGACCATCAAGTGCCTGAAGAAAGATGAAGAAGCCAATCTCGTGCATGAGAAATCCAACCTGCTCCGCAAGTCAGTGGAGATGATTGAACTAGGGCTTGGAGAAGCTCAGGTGAGGGTGGTGGGTGACCCCCTAGGTGTTACCCAGCAAACAGGGGGAGGTGGGCATGTGGCTGTTCCCTATCAGCTGCAGGGGCAGCAAGAGGCTGAGTGTAGAAGCGTGACCCTGAGGGTGGGCCCTGAGCATGTATGTGAGGGAGGTACAAGATTGTGATATTTACTGACTGGGACTCTTGAAAAGGTGATGATGGCATTGTCCAACCACCTGAATGCCGTGGAGTCAGAGAAGCAGAAGCTGCGTGCTCAGGTGCGGAGACTGTGCCAGGAGAACCAGTGGCTGCGCGACGAACTCGCCAACACCCAGCAGAAGCTGCAGCGCAGTGAACAAACCGTGGCTCAGCTGGAGGAGGAGAAGAAACACCTTGAGTTCATGAACCAGCTGAAGAAGTATGATGAGGATGTCTCGCCTTCGGTATGTCCTAATCCTGTCGAGCAGCCACCTTTGCAAGTGGGGGAGGTTGGACCAGCAGGATTGCTTAGGTGTGATAGTGCTGCCCTGGATTTTGCCTCTTCCCAGCTACTGTGCACAGTAGTGCCTGTAACTAAAGGGAACTTGCGTGGTGCAGAGTCTCTTGAAGAACATGAAGTAGCATGCCACGATGCACTGGGGAAATTTGGCTTTATTAGTTTTGTTGTGTGGGGGAGAGATGGTGGCAGAGACAACAGGTGAAGCTGAGAGTGCTGGTGGACTGCAGCAGGGAGGAGAGTTTGGCAGCTGCTTCGGCCTAGGCTGCTGCTGTCTCCTCTGAGAACTGACAGTGTTGTGATTCCCATTCTCTCAGGAGGAGAAGGAGGGCGACTCCGCCAAGGACTCTCTGGATGATCTGTTCCCGAATGAGGAGGAGGAGCATGGTCCTGGGTGTAAGTGTTTACTCGTGCAGGGTTGCTGGCTGTCCCTGTTTGAGCCTGCTGTGCCCACTGTACCCCTTTTTATTCCTCTGTGCCTGTAGTGCCCCACCAGCACAGCAGTGCAGTGGCAGCTGCCCAGCAGGGAGGCTATGAGATTCCTGCGCGCTTGCGCACCCTCCACAACCTTGTCATCCAGTACGCCTCACAGGGACGCTACGAAGTGGCTGTGCCGCTCTGCAAGCAGGCGCTGGAGGACCTGGAGAAGACATCAGGCCATGATCATCCTGATGTGGCCACCATGCTCAACATCCTGGCGCTAGTGTACAGGTGAGTGTGGTGGGGAGGACAGGGCTGGGCCAGGAGAGCTTTCCACCTCTCCCGTTTACCAGGACAGCACATTCTGGTGACAGGGAGCTCCCCCAGCTTCCAGTGGTTTGCCTTTCAGAAGGGTTTTGCACAGATGAGGTATTTGGACCACCAGACTCCCTGATATAACTAGGGACTGGCTATGGTGGGGAGGAGTGGAGAAATGAAAGGGCTGTGGGGGCTGGATCTGTGTGGAAGGCAGACTGTTGTTTGCAGTGCTGCTTGCTATAGGCTGTGGTGTCCAAATCCCAAATAACTGCTTGGCTTTGCACTGCAGGGATCAGAATAAATACAAAGAGGCAGCACATCTCTTGAATGATGCGCTCTCCATCCGCGAGAAGACTCTGGGCAAAGACCACCCTGCGGTGAGTGTCTCCTTCCTCTTTCAGTCACTTCCCTTGACCCGTGAGTGCCGAAGGGGCTAGAACGGTGCCCTGACAGTGTTGTCTGCAGCTGGACTACCAAGGCAAGCAGCGTGCTCTGGGGTGTGAGGGGTGTTGTTCACGTGGTGTGGGGCTTTGTTTTACTGCTTCAATATTTTGCTGCTGTCATGTTCATTATGGCCTGCCAGGAGTAGGCTTCCGGATCCTGCGATATAGGCAGGGTAGCCTTCTGCCTCTGGACCTGCTTCTTTTCAGAAGCAGCTGTACTGCAGGCATGAAGGAAGTGGGACAGTCACTGTTACTGCTGCTTGCACCCCTTGTTTGGTCCCACTGGATTCTGCTTTGTTTCATGGAGAAGCTTATGTCTCTGCAGGTGGCAGCAACTTTGAACAATCTGGCTGTTCTCTATGGCAAGAGAGGGAAGTACAAAGAAGCAGAGCCACTATGTAAGCGAGCCCTGGAGATCCGCGAGAAGGTACTGGTCTCTCACGCTCTCTTTCCTTCCAGCTCTCTCTGAGGGTTTTCCCCCATTACCTCACTGAACCTGGGAGACCCAGGACCTACCTAGTCTCTTCAGCTGTTCATTCTGCCACCACCTTTCCTGTCTCTCCAGTGTTTGCAGCCTTAGAGAGGCCTGCCAGGAGGTGGAAGCTGGAATTTCTCCTCTTTACCTCACTAGTCCTTGGCTTCTGTCTGACATAGTCCCTCCAGGACGTACCTACGGTGTCTACTAACTCCAGGAGTCCACTGCAGTCTTTAAGTGCTGACTTTTTGTGGCTTCTCTTCTGTTGTGTACCCAGGTCCTAGGCAAAGACCATCCTGATGTGGCCAAGCAGCTGAACAATCTAGCCCTGCTGTGCCAGAACCAGGGCAAGTATGATGAGGTGGAGTACTATTACTGCCGGGCCCTGGAGATCTACGAGAGCTGCCTGGGTCCTGATGACCCCAACGTGGCCAAGACCAAGAACAACCTGGTGAGACCCTGCGGAGAGGCCATGTGGGGATGGGGAGGGGTGCCATGGGAAAGCCGAGCATTGCCTAGTGCTTGGAAGATGCAGAGGGGTAGCTGCAAGAGGGGGACAGAGTTAATCTGTGTTGCTCAGTGAGGCTGGAGCTGTTTTCTTGGTTGCAGGCCTCCTGTTACCTGAAGCAAGGCAAATACAAAGATGCAGAGGTGCTGTACAAGGAGATCCTTACCCGTGCTCATGTGAAGGAGTTCGGCTCTGTGGATGGTTTGTACAGCAGAAGCTGTTGGGGGTGGGGAAGGGTGAGCAGTTTGGTCTCCTGGCTCTCAGGCTAGGCTTGGCTGGTTCTGGTATCCCCCTGGCAGAGGGATGGGATGCCTGGCAGGGCCCCGGCTTTGGGCAGCCCTTGAGACACTGCCATTCTAGTGAGTTGTGCTGCTCCACCTCTTCTCTGGGAGAGGTCTTGGAGAGCTCTGGCTGTCAGCCTTTACTGGGTTGGGAATAGCTGTGACTGAAGAGGGGAACAGCGAGTGGCACAATCATTCCCAGGCATAGGCTGAAGTCTCTCCTGTGCGCCTGGCACAGGTATCCCGCTGTGGGAGAACTTGTTCCTTCCTTCCCCTGTCCTGCTCTTGTAATGTTGGTTGCCTTTCTCGGGGCTCTGGCCCTGGGACGAGCGGGATGTGGAAACCTTGTCACTTCCCTCTGGTGAGCTGCTGACTCTGGGGACAGAGTGTTGGGCTGTGCAGGAGGCAAGGCCCCAGTGGAAGTGGCAGAGCAACAGGGTGAGGTGGTGAGTGGAACTGTCTTGCCTTCTTCCCCACACAGATGAGCACAAGCCAATCTGGATGCATGCGGAGGAGAGAGAGGAGATGAGCAAGGTGAGTCTGAGCTGCCTGTTGATGGCAGCAAGAGCCCTGGGAGGGAAAGGAGATCAAGGGGTTTTGATCTTCTCTTATTACAGCCAGACCCTCTTTTCTGCAGTCTGAAGAGCTGCCATGGTCACTGATGAGGGCCGGGAGGGATCTGCAGAGTGCGGAGAGAGCATGGCTACTCCTCGGGGCAGCAGGGAGGGAAGGCCCATCAGAGGGGCTTGATGCT